CAAAAAAAAAAAAAAAAAAAAAAAAAAAAACAATCAACAGAGCAAAGAGGAAACCAGCTGGATGGGAGAAAGTATCTGCAAACCACTCATCAGAGAAGGGATTAATATCCAGAATATACAAGGAACTTAACTCAACAGCAAAAAAACAAATAATCTAATTAAAAAATGGACAAATGACCTGAAAAGACCTTATTAAAAGAAGACATATAAATGGCCAACAAGCATATGAAAAAACACCAAACATTACTAGTCATCAGAGAAATGTAAACCAAAATCACAAAGAGATATCATCTCACCATGCATAGAGAATGGCTGTTATCAAAAGGACAAAGAATAACATGATAGTGAGGACACAGAGAAGAGAGGACTCTTATATACTTTTGGTGGGAATGCAAATTAGTACAGCCATTATGGAAAACTGTACAGAAGTTCCTCCAAAAACTAAAAATACAACTACCATAAGATCCAGCAATCCCACTGCCAGGTACTTATCCAAAGGAGAGGAAATTAGCATGCTGAAGTGATATCTGCACCCACACATTTACTGCAGCAATATTCGCAATAGCAAATATATGAAATCAACGTAGGTGTCCATCAACAGATGAATGGATAAAGAAAATGTGGCATATATACACAAGAGAATACTACTTAGCCATGAAAAAGAATGAAATACCATCATTTGTGGCAACACGGATGAATCTGGAAGACATTATGTTAAGTGAAGTAAATCAGGCAGAGGAAGATGAATACTGCAGGTTCTCACCTATGTGTGGGAGCTAAACAGTAATAATAATAAATTGAACTTTCAGAATTAGAGAGTAGAAGTGTGGTTTCTAGAGGCTGGGAAGGAGAGGTGATAGAGGGGAGAGGGGATGCTGAGAAGTTAGTTAATGAACACAAAATTATAGCTTGATAGGAAAAATAAGTTCTAGTGGTGTACAGTTGTGCTAGGCATCTGTAATTAACAATAGTTTATTATATGTTCTCAAATGACTAGAAGAAAGGAACTTAAATGTTTTCATCACAAAGAAACAATAAATTTTTATGATGAGTTTCCTAACTACCCTGATTTGATCAATACACACTGTATACATATATTGAAATATAATTCTGTACACCACCACCCCCCAAAAGTTAGAACCTTAGACAAAAATTTATTTATTTCTGATAAATCCATTATCATCATTTATAACTTTATCCTAAAACAACTTTGTTATTTAGAGCTTCCTTATTTCCTGGTAAACAAGAATTTAATTTAATATTAATATAATCGATATGGATTTGTAATACCATTTTACAGTTCACAAATTGCTTTAAAATATTTAGATTCTACAAGACACCTGAAAGACAAAGTATTGTGCAGCTCAACAGTGATGAAAGTAACTCCCAACCAAATTAAAGAAAAAAATATGCACTCACCAGATAGTCAAATCAACCTCATCAGATAAATATTGCCTATAATCCAACTGTGCAAAAAGTGGAAACAGCACTTGTACTCCTCCAATTGAATGCATAGCACTTTGGATGGAATGTGTTAAAACTGCCTTCACATCCTTGTAAAACAGAAAACACAGGAAAGATTTCAAATGATTTCTTTTCCAAAAGAGTAAAAAATAAAGCACCACAGTAAACATTACTAAAATGTGACAATTCCATGTGTCTAATAGAGCTACTAAACACATCTCAATAATACATCAAAAATTACCACTAAAAATATTCTTAAAAGATCACAGTACCTGGAGCATGAGTGCATGCGGTGAATGAACAAAAATTGAAGGGTTGTCTTTAGGAGATGATTCCAGGCAAAGCTGGGCATCTGTAGCCCGTGGATTGTATGTGAATGCAATGGCACTAGAAAGTTTGCCATCATACAACAAAAGTTTGTGATGCTCAGCAAGAAAAAGGTCACTTTCTGCTTTGAATTTAAACGTACCCTAAGAATTAATTTTAAAAAGAGAACAGTTAAGACAATATGCTACAAAAAGAATATCTAAATACAAATCACAACAGATATAAATATTTAAGGAAACATACCACTGATAATTTTTCAAACAATATCAAATAAGAAGACCCCACCCTGTTTATTTCTAAAATAGGCTGAATTTATTTTAAGCTGCAATGGAAATCAAGTCAACTTGACATTAAAACCTTACATTACAAATGTAAAACTGTCCTATAGAGCATGTTTTTTTTCCCTTATATTCTGTCCTTTTGTAAAATTGTGATAAAAAGCACATAAGATACAGTTTACCATTTTAAGCATTTTAAGTGTATAATTCAGGAATGTTAACTAAATTTACATTATTATACAACAAATCTCTAGACATTTTACATCTTCCAAAACTGAAATTCTATACCCATCGAACAATAACTTCCCATTGCCCACTCCCCTGGCCCCTGACAACCACAATTCTCCTTTCTGTGTCTATGAGTCTGACAATTTTAGGTACCTCATGTAAGCAAAATCAGACAGTACTTGTCTTTTTATGACTGGCTTATATCACATAGCATAATGTCCTCAAGGTTTATCCATGTTGTTGCATGTAACAGCATTTCCTTGTTTTTTTTAAGGCTGAATAATACTGTGTGTGTGTAACACTTTATCTACTCATCTGTTGACGGATATTTGGATTACTTCTATCTCTTGGCTATTATGAGTAATGCTGCTCTGAACATGGGTGTGCAAATATCTTTGTGATCCTTCATTTAAATCTTTGGGATATCTACCCATAACTGGGATCACTGGACCATACAGTAATTCTACTTTTAATTTTTGTTAAAACTGCTATACTGTTTTACATAGCAGTTGCACCATTTTACATGACCACCAATACTGCACAAGGGTTCTGAGTTTTCCACATTCTCACCAACACTTGTTCTTTTCAAACTGCTATACTGTTTTACATAGCAGTTGCACCATTTTACATGACCACCAATACTGCACAAGAGTTCTGAGTTTTCCACATTCTCACCAACACTTGTTCTTTTCATTTTTTTTTTTTTAGTGATCATCCTAAAGTACATGAGGTGATAACTCACTGTAGTTTTGAATTTCTCTAATGATTAATGATATTGAGCATCTTTTCATATATTTGCTGCCTATTTGCATATCTTCTTTAGAGAAATGTCTATCCAAATCACCTTGGCCCATTTTTTAATTAGGTTACTTATTTTTGTTGTTGAGTTGTAGGAGTTCTTCATATGTTCTGGATACTAACCCAACAGTGGATATACGACATTATGACATTATTAATCATATGATATCATTAACATATCATAATATGTTACATTATTAACATATCACTAATATATGAATAATATATATTAATATATAATATATGATTAATATATGACATAATACATGGTTAATAATGTGCCATTATAAATGCTACACCTCAAAGAACTGGATGGAAAAAAATAATTAAGATCAGAGCAGAACTAAATGAAATAGAGACCCAAAAAGCAATACAAAACATAAATGAAATAAAAAACTGTTTTTTTGAGAAAATAAATAAAATAGACCACTAGCTTGGGTAACAAACAGAGAGAAGACCCAAATAATAAAATTCAGAAATGAAAAAAGGCGACATTACAACTGATACCTCACAAAGAATCATTAGAGACTGTCATAAACAGCTATATACGAATGGAAAAGAAAACCTGGAGAAAACATAAATGTCTGGACACATACAAACTATCAAGACTGAACCAAGAAGAAATGGAAAACCTGAACATACCAGTAACAAGCAACAAGATTGAAGGAGTAATCAGCAGTCTCCCAACAAAGAAAAGCCCAGGACAAGAAGGCTCTACTGCTGAATTCTACCAAGGCTTTAAAGAGGAATTAATACCAATTGTTTTCAAACTATTCCAAAAAACTGAAACAGAGGCCACTCTCTCAAACTCATTCTATGAGACCAGAATCACCTGATACCAAAATCAGACAAAGATACAACAAAAGAAGAAAACTACAGACCAATATCTCTGATGAACATTGACAGAAAAATCCTCAACAAAATATCAGCAATCAGAATACAGTAACACATCATAAAAACTATACACCATGATTCCAGGGAGGCAAAGATTGCTCTACATAAGCAAGTCAACAAAAGTGATACTCCACATCAACAAAATAATATATGTTTGATCATCACATATTTTACACAAAAAATGATAGTCTACACTGTGCCCCCAAAATATTTACAATCAGTTCTGCTTAATTTTTTTTTAAAAATTTTAATTTAGTTTTTTTAAATGAATAAATAAATAATTTTTTAAATACAATAATATGTGTGGATTTCAACACCCCTCTCTCTGCAACAGATAGATCATCTAGAGAACAAATCAGCAGAGAAACATATGATTTAAACTAAACTTTAGACCAATTGGACTTGACATCTACAAAACATTTTTTACATCCAACAACTATAGAATATACACTCTTCTCATCAGCACATGGAACATTCTCCAACATAGACCACATGTTTGGCCAAAAGTCAAGACTCAACAAATTTGTAAGAACTGAAAACACTTCAACTATCTTTTCAGACCACAATGGAATAAATTTAGAAATCAATAACTACCAAAATTTTGAAAACTATAAAAGTACATGCAAATTAAACAACATGCTCCTGAATGACCTATGGGTCAAAGAAGAATTTAAGCAGAACATCAAAAAATTTCTTGGAACAAATGAAAATAAAAGCACACCATACCAAAACCTATAGGATACTGCAAAAGCAGTACTAAGAGGAAAGCTTACTGCAATAAATGCTTACATCAAAAGAATAAAAATACTTCAAATAAACAACCTAATGTTATACCTCAAAGAACCAGAAAAACAAGAACAATCCAATCCCAAAATTAGTAGATGAAAAGAAGTAATAAACATTTGAGCAGAACTAAATGAAATCAAGACCAAAAAAAAAAGATATAAAATAATGAAACAAAAATTTGGTTTTTTGAAAAGAAAAAAAAACTGACAAACCATTAGTGAGAGTAAGGAAAGGAGAAGACCCAAATAACAAAAATCAGAAATGAAAATTGAGACATTATTATTGATACCACAGAAATACAGTGATTAGAGAGTGTTATGAACAAATATACACCAAGAAATTGGAAAATCTGGAGGAAAAAAATCTGGAGGAAATGGACAAATTTCTAGACACATACAACCTACCAAGACTGAACCAAGAAGAAATAGAACACCTGTTCTATTTATGAGCAATGAGACTGAATCTATAATCAGCAGTCTCCCAACAAAGAAAAGCCCAGGACTGAATGGTTTCACTGCTAAATTCTACCAAACTTTTAAATTAATATTAATACCAATTCTCCTCAAACTATTCAAAAAAATTGAAGCATGGTCCATTCTACCAAACTCATTCTATGAAGCCAGCATAACCCCTGCACCAAAATCAGAAGAGGGAATATTTCCAAATTCATTGTACAGGGCATAGCAAAACCATAAAAAGACAACAAACAAAAATAGAAAACTACAGGCGAATATCCTTGACGAACACAGATGTAAAAATTCTCAACAAGATACTAGAAAACCAATTCAACATGACATCAAAAAGATTACACCATGGTCAAGTGGGATTCATCACAGGAATATCCTTGACGAACACAGATGTAAAAATTCTCAACAAGATACTAGAAAACCAATTCAACAGGACATCAAAAAGATTACACCATGGTCAAGTGGGATTCATCACAGAAATTCAAGGAGGGCGCAACATAAGCCAATCAATAAATGTGATATACCATATCAACAAAATGAAGGACAAAAACCATATGACTAGCAGAACAAAGCCCAACACTCTTTAAAGAAAAGAAACAAAACCCAGACACATAGCAAAAATAATAATGTCCAATATCCATTCCAAAATTACTAAAGAAACCAAGAAGCCTGAAATAGCCATAAGAATGTCATTAAATAAAAATGAAAATATACCCAGAAGTATACAAATAATGAAACTAAAAGAAAAAGACATTAAAACAGCTATTATATTTATAGTCAAGTTTGTTGGTGTTTTCTGCTTAAGACAAACATGTAAGAAAAACAGCAGATAATGAAAAAGAACCAAAACTCATTGGGACAAAAAATGCAACATGTAAAATAAAAAATTCACCTGATGCAATTAACAGATTAAAATTTTGAGAAAGGATTATTGAAAATAAAGGCATAGCATTTAAAACAATCTAAAAAGTTTTATAAGGGCCGGCCCGGTGGCGCACTGGAGAGTGCGCCACTTGGGAGCATGGAGGTGCTCCCGCCGAGGGTTTGGATCCCATGTGGAGACCGGTTCCCGCTCACTGGCTGAGCGCGGTGCGGGCGCAACACCGAGGGTTGCGATCCCGTCGCCGGTCCCCGGTACGAGCGCGACACCAAGGGTTGCGATCCTGTTACCGGTCAGTAAAAAAGACAAAAAGGGAAAAAAAATAAAAAATAAAAATAAAAAAATAAAAATAAAAAGTTTTATAAAATAAGAGCAAAAAAATAAACAAAAATAAAAGATAGTCTCAGTGACCTTCTGGCTCATATCAAAGGATCTAAAATAAATGTAATATGAACCCAAAAGAAGAAAAAATTAAAGAAAATATATTTGAAGAAATAATGGCCCAAAAGTTTGCAAATCTGACTAAAACATAAACCCACAGATCCAAGTAGTTTTTTTAGTAACCTGAAGTAGCCTAAGCACACAAAAAGAAAACACACCAACATATAGAAATGTTCAGTTTCTAAAAATGATTGATAAAGAGCAAATCTTAAAAGTAGCAACAGAAAAAAGATATATACAGAGAAAGACGTATAATAAAGGCCACACATTTCTAGTCCAAAACTTCTTGTTAATCAGGTAACAAAACAGCATCTTTAAAAAGTTCAAAAAAAAAAAACTGTCGCCTTAGAATTCTAAAACCGGTAAAACTATTTTTCAAAAATAAAAGCAGAATAATGGCTTTCTCAGACAAGCAAAAACAAAGAAATTAATTAACAATAAACCTCCATTACAAGAAATATTAAACTTATTCAATTAGAAGGAAAATTATGAGATGGAAACATGAATGTACACAAAAAAATGAAGTGTCCTAGAAATGATAAATAGATAGTCAAATGTAAAACACATGATCTTATTCATTTTTAATGTCTTTAAAATATAACTAAGTAAATCAAAATTTATAATAATATATCATGGGATTTATAATATATGTAGAAGTAAAATCTATGACAATAATAAAACAAAAGACGGGAATTGCAGGATCATGTTGGAAGGTTCTTATACTATATCGTGAAGTGATATAAATTCATTTGTGGGTAGACTATGACAATTTAAAGATAAAGTTACAAAATAACTAGTAAACCAACAGCAGAAATAAAAAGGAATACTAAAAAAAAAAACACAATTAGTACAAATGAAAGCACTAAAAGATAAGGAAAAAAATCAAAGAACATATAAGAAAAATAGAAAATACCAAGATAATAGATTTAAATCACAGTTGCTATACTTACATTGAATGTAAATCAACCCACACACCTACAGCCATCTGATCTTTGACAAAAGCACCAAGTGGGAATGCATAATGGTGCAACCCCTATGGAAAATGGTTTGGAGGTTCCTCAAACAGTTGCAGATTGATCTACCATATGACCCAGCTATTTCACTGCTGGGAATATATCCAAAGGAATGGAAATCATCAAGTCGAAGGTATACTTGTTTCCCAATGTTCATTGCAGCACTCTTTACAATAGCCAAGAGTTGGAATCAGCCCAAATGTCCATCATCGGATGAGTGGATACGGAAAATGTGGTATATCTACACAATGGAATACTACTCAGCTATAAAAACGAATGAAATACTGCCATTTGCAACAACATGGATGGACCTTGAGAGAATTATATTAAGTGAAACGAGTCAGGCACAGAAAGAGAAATACCACATGTTCTCACTTATTGTTAGGAGCTAAAAATAAATAAATAAATTCACACACACACACACACACACACACACACACACAAATAAATAAATAAATAAATCGGGGGGTGGGGGAAGAAGACATAAAAACTACAATTCCTTGAAGTTGATATGACAAGCAAACAGAAAGGACACTGTTGGGTGAGAGGGGGGAGAGGAAGGAGAGAGGAAGGTTTTGGTAATGGGCCACAATAATCAACCACATTGTATATCGACAAAATAAAATTTAAATCAATAAAATAAAAAAAAGTTTTAAAAAACAATTAGTACAAATGAAAGCACAAAAAGAGAAGGAAGAAAATCAAAGAACAGATAAGAAAAATAGAAAATACCAAGATAATAGATTTAAATCACAGTATCTATAATTACATTGAATGTAAATGATGTAAACATTTCCAATAAAAAGGCAAAAAATTATCTGACTTGATAAATGAAAAAAAGCAAAACTCATTTTACAAAATTAAATATCCTTTTAATAAAAACTCTCAAGGAACTAAAAAGAGAAGAAAAATTTTTGAACATGATAAAAGGCATCTATGAAGTATCTGTGAATGCTTCTCCCCTAAAATCAGGAACAAGGCAAAAATGTCCACTTCCATTTAACTGTTAATATTGGAGGTCCCACCTAGTGCAATTAGGCAAGAAAAAGAAAAGGCATACAAATTGGAAATGAAGAAGTAAAACTCACAGACTATATGAACATGTATAGAAAATCCTAAAACAATCAACAAAAATAAGCTAGGAAAACAAACAAGCAAGTTTAGTAAGATCTTAGGTTAAAATGTCAATAAGCAAAACTCAATTGTATTTCTATATACTAGAGGCAAATTATTAAAATTGAAATTTTAAAAAATGCAACTTAACAATATTATCCAAAATACAGGAAATACTTAGGAATACATTTAACAAAATGTGTGTGTGACCTCAACAGTGAAAACCAGAAAACAATGCTGGTAGAAATTAAAGATCTAAGTAAATGGAGAGATATATCATGTTCAAAAAATAGAAAATTTATTATTTATAAGTCATTAATTCTCTCCTAACTGATCTATATATTCAATGAAATCCCAAATAAAATCCCCAGGTTTTTTTGTAAAGTTGATAAGCTGGTTCTGAAATATATCTGGAAATGCAAAGAATCTAGAATAGCTGAAATAATTTTGAAAAAGATGAATAAAGTTGACAGTTTTAGACTTCCTATTTTCACAAGTTACTATGAAGCTACAATCATCGAGAGAGTATGATATTAGCATAAGACAAGACATACAAGTAAGGAATAGAATACAGCCTCAAAGATGCCAAGGTAATGCAATGGAGAAGACTTTATAAAAAAAGAAAAAAAAACTGTAATGGAACACTAGGATATCGTCATTGTTTTAGTCCACTTGGGTTACTACCAAAAAAAAAAAATCTTAGACCGGGTAATTTATAAACAACAAAGTGTACCGTTCAAAGTTCTGGAGGCTAGGAAGTCCAAAATCGTGGCACCAGCACATTCAATGTCTGGTGAGGGCCTGTTCCTCACAGATGGCACTTTCTATGTGTCCTCACATTGAGGAAGGGCAAAAGGATCCCTCAGGCCTTTTTTATGAGGACACTAATGCCATCCATGAAAGTGGAGCCCTCATAAACTAATCATTTCCCAAAGGCCCCATCTTTTCACAGCCTCACATTGAGAGTTAGATTTTTAACACATGAATTTGGAAGGAAACACATATATTCCAACCACAGCACTTAAAAAAAAAATATGAACCTTGACATATCATATAAAAAAATTCACTCAAAATGGATCATAGACCTAAAAGTAGATGGTAAAATTATAAAACTTAGAATAAAACATGAGACAGAAAAAAAAAAGAATAAAACATGAACAAAATCTTTCCAACCTTGGAGTAGGCAAATATTTATTAAAACATAAAAATTTCATGAAGATAATAGAACAAAATTGATAAATTGGAATTCATAAAAATTAAATTCCTCTGTTCTTTACAAGCCAAATTAAGAAAATAAAACACAAGACACACACTGGGGAAAAATAACAGTAAATCATAAATCTGATAAAAGCATTATATCTATATCCAGAATAAACAAATCTCAAAACTCAATATTAAGAAAACAAACAACCCAACAAAAAAGATTTGAATACACACTTCACAAAAGAAGATACACAAATGGCCAGTAATCAATGAAAAGATCCTCAGCATCTCTAGTCAATAATAAATAAAATAAATAATGCAGTAATAAAATAATGCAAAGTAAAACCACAGTGACATACATTAGACATTTGAGAGCAAATGTCTAATATCAAAAAGACTGACAATATCAGGTATTTACAAAGACATAGAGTAAGTAGAAATCTCACACCATGCTTCTGGGAATGTAAAATTATACAACTACCTCAAGAAAGAGTTTGGCAATTTCAGTTACCATATCATTTGGCAAGTCCACTCTTAGGTTGTTATGAAAAACATATGTTTACACAATGATCTGTACATCAACATTCATAGCAGCTTATTCATAATTACAACGAACTAGAAACAACCCAAATGTCCATCAACAAATGAATGGATTAAAAAATTGTGGTATATTCATACAATGGAATACTACTCAGCAATAAAAAGGAAGGAACAAGCGCACTAATATAAAACAACACGGATGAATCTTAAAGCATAATGAGAAGAAACAAAACTCACAGGAGTACATCTTGCATGATTCTATTTAGATAAAACCTTAAGAAGAACAAGTCTAATCTATAATGACAGAAAACAGATCAGTGGTTGCCTATCAACAGCAACGGGTGGGGTTAGTAAAGTAGAAACAATTGACTGGAAAGGAGCACAATGGAAACTTTTGTAGTGATGAAAATGTTCTATTTCTTGACTGTTGTGGTAATTATACTTTTATAAAAATTAATTAAAATATATATACTTTGGGGCCGGCCCAATGGCGCACTGCTACAGTGCGCCGCTTGGGNGGTACGGGCGCGACACTGAGGGTTGTGATCCGTTACCGGACACGAAAAAAGACAAAAAAAATATATATATATACTTTATATTGCCTGTAAATGGTATATAAATCAACTCAAAAAAGCTGATTTTGTTTTCAAAGGAACATAGCAGACATTAAATTTCTCCCTGAAACCAAACTCGAGGCTAACATTGGCTAAACACAAAGGCTCCCAAATTTTTTGGTTCATGGCTCTCTTAGCATCTCAGTGATTTTTTCATGGAACTCTTTGCTGAAATAAATAGTGATCATTTCTGCTTAGCTGTTTGGTTCAAACAACTTTGTATCCTAACAATTTAGTAACCATTTGAAAAGATTAATGCACAAGTTAAAAGAAAAATTAANGTATCCTAACAATTTAGTAACCATTTGAAAAGATTAATGCACAAGTTAAAAGAAAAATTAAAACATTTCCTTTATTATTATATCAACAAAATTACTTATTAAGGGGATGTATATTCATTTGGGGCACTGTACAAATTCTCAGTCTTCGGATTGAGATTGCACACCATCACCCTCATTTCCTATTCCACATTGATTTTCACATGATACTCACTTTTTATCATAGCAACTGTTGGAAACTTACTTGTGCAAAGATACGACATCATCAAAAGAAAATTTGAGCTAATAGCTTGTGCAGTGATCCACACAGGTCAAGTACACTGCATTTCCCTCAAAAATTTAAAGTATCCTGATTCAGTCCCCTGTGACTTCCCTATGGTTCCCCATGGCTACTTTGACATACCGTTTGGTAACTCAAAGTTAATCTCCCCATGCACAACCCACCTTCAAATCAAGCTCAACTAACATTGGTTAAGCAGTGAACAGAAAATAAAGTACCTTGTATCCCAGGCCCAACTGATAAATAGCAAAAATCTGAGCTGCATTAAGAGCTTCACTAAAAAGGTACACTGCAGTCATCTGACCACAGAAGACCCTATTAGCATCTGCTGTTTCTGAAGAGCCCAGGAAACATTTGTCAAATGTCTGTGAAAGAGAATAGAAGATTTTATTAGAGAAAAAAAAAACCAAAAAATTATATCCTCCAGAAATAATAAACTCTGTATTAATATAAATGTTTTGTCTATTCTAAACTATATCTGAATAGCTCAAAATAATTCATTTAGCATTCACTTCATTCATTCCCATCTGGAGTGAAGATCAGGAATGACATCATGTTAAAAAACATACAAGTTTTCCAAAAGACAATAAACAAAACTTGATGACAAAGAGGAGGTTAAAAAAAAAAAA